GGGGCCAAGGGCAACATACGTAACCTAAACATCTGTACCCCCATAATATGCTGAAATAAAAAAAATAAAAAAAAAAAAACAACAACCTCCAAAGTTCTACATCTATAGATTAAGTATGGGAAGGAAACTTCCCAGAGAAAGAGGGAAGTTGTTAGCTTAAGACCGTAGAATCACATGAGAAAACTAAAGTGTCATCTGATGTAATGCCCTGAGACATTAGATAGGGTCATACTTACAATTTTTCTTCAACTATCAATTATCTTGGAGTCAATTAACCAAGTTCATTATTCTTGATTATTTGGAGCCTTCTCATCTTCTCCCTGCTCTCCACTCTTAAGCTCCCCAGATGGGTTACTAACAGCGGGGCCAAGTTGGAAAAGGTTGGGACGTTATTTAGAAACGAGAGCTGCCTGGATGTGGGTCTGAGTGCATTTCAAAGCCAGCTTGGATGGCTAGTTCATAGTGGAAACCTAAAGATACTTATAAAGAGCATCCTGTGATTTTACAAGGTTTTCTGGCCTTGCGGGGAGCGGAGGTCTCTGATCCTCTTCCTTAAATGCCTTCGGTGTCCAGTGTCTTTTGATTAATCCTTTTATCTTTCATTGAGCTTTTAGTTTCATCATCTATAGAATGGGCATGATGAACATAAAAACTAACTCACTGGGTTGTTGGAATGATGGATATGAAAGTGCTTTGTGGTCTTTGGTGACCCACATGGCACCCACTCTGTGCCAGTTGGTGCTTTACAGTTAGGAACTCATTTGTTGCCGACAGTAGTCTTGTTAGGTAGTAGTAACGTTCTCATTTCACAGAGGAGGGAGCAGGCAAAGTAACTTGTCATACAGCTAGAGAGTAGAGACTAAAGCCCAGGCAGAGCTCTTAGCCATGCTGCTGTGCTCTGCCTCCCCAGGACTTTCTTAGAAAGCGCACTATTGCCCTCTCCAGATCTCGGTTCTCTAAACAGTCCAGGGAGGTTCTTGAAGCCTTACCCACTAAGCTGTTCTTTCTCTTCTGCTTCCTTCAGATTGATGACACTGGCACGTTTCAAGTAATAGTGGTTCCCTCTGGGGCGGAGGCTGACTACACACCAGCGTTAGAGAGACTCCAGCGGTGCACTTTCTGCTACGGTAAGACCCACGGAAGATAACTTGGTCCAGCCTGTTAAGCACATTGAGTCACCATTAGGAGCAGCTGGAACTTGGCAGCAAGGATATGTGCGGCCTTGGGAAGACTTCTCTGGGGCTCTGGGTGCAACTTGTCACACTGCATCTCCCACAGATGGAACGTCTCAGCTCAGCAAGTGGGGTCTCCTCCTATATATCCCAGCAGGAGGGCTACATTCCAGGCCTCTCTACTTACTGCAGCTTCCAGGAAACAGTAATGATTTTTAGAAAAACTTAGCCTATCTCATTGCCAAGTTTTTCGTGCCATAAAGTATATTTGTGTATTTTCTAAACCTCAAAGGTTCATAGACCCAAAGAAATACTTTAAAGTAATTCAGCACCCTTCTACCTCCTTGGGGATATTTTTTAGTACAGAAGTGGAAAATTGCAAGAATTCATGCATTTCTCATTGAATAGAAGCTTCATGGACTCCTAAATGTTTTGTTGAGACAGGGTCTCCCTCTGTTGCTCAGGCTAGGGTGCAGTGGCATGATCACAGCTTACTGCAACCTCAAACTCTTGGGGTCAAGAGATACTCCCACCTCAGCCTCTCGAGTAGCTAGGACTACAGGTGCGTGCCACCACATCTGGCTAATTTTTAAAATTTTTTGTAGAGACAAGGTCTCTCTCACTATGTTGCCTAGGATAGTCTCAAACTCCTGGGCTCAAGCGATCCTCTACCTTGGCCTCCCAAAAGTGCTGGGATTTCAGGCATGAGCCACCACACCTGGCTGGACTGTCAAATATTAAACATCAGAAAGATTTGTAATGTTGATTTGTTTATAGTGTTTTGTACATTATCTATAGGTCTAACTAGAAAACTGGACTCCAATTTTCTATTTGAGTGTTCTAATAATTATGAAGGCAGTGGAAGCCACTGGGATTTTTGGTGGCTATAATAGCTAAGAGATATCAAGCATTTACTTACAGGCCATGCACTGTTCTAATTGGTTGTATCAGTGATAGTGATGATGACAGTTAATACTTAAGCTATTGTGCTTGTTATAATCCAAGCACTATTCTAATCCCTTTAAATGAATTATGTCATTCAATCCTTATAATCATCCTAAAACATTTGAACTATTGTTAGTTCCATTTTACAAAGGGGGAAAATGAAGCTTAGTGAAATGTATTATAATAATTTGCTCAGGGCCTCACAGGCAGACCAAACCCAAGAAGGCTGCTGGTCTAAACTGCCTGCAGTTTATGAGCAGCAGAGGTCTTACTCTTCTGTTCCCTGAAACTCTCTTTTTGAGCCTGAAGAAAATGCTTGATTGCTCTCCTTCTCCATGTGTGTCAGTGAGAAGCTGATGCTTGCCATCTAAATGACCTCACCGGGAGGTGGTCATTCTGAGGGAGAAGTAAGATTTCTGGTCTAATAACCCCTCTTCTTTCTGTCTTTCCCTCTGCTTCCCTCTTCCCTCTCCCCACCTCTCTCTCTCTCTCAGGCTCTCTCACTGTCTGGACTGTGCAGGGTTGGTTTAGGCGCTGGCAATCTTAAGTAGTTAAAGCACTAACCGTTCTGTGAGGAGCTACATCCCACCCTGTATATTCTCAGTTGCTCTTTCAAACATGTCAGTTACGACAGTGTGTGCTGGTATGTTGCATGGTCAGAAGTTGCACATGTGTGACTAGGGATAGATTTTGGCTCCATTTCTTGGCTTAAACTCTTGTTTCATCTCTTAGGCCTATAATGGAAGATATTTTGGCTGTCATTTCCTGCAATTAAAAAACCCACAAAACTGAGCAAATGGGCAGCCTGCTGTCCTGATTTTGGAAACTGCCTTGCACACAGGTGACTGTTCTGTCATCTGATCATTACACAGGGTCATAAAATTTTACTAAATTTCAATAAGGGTACCATAACTTGACCGGAGTCACATCTTTATTGAGTCCATGAGCAAGACTGAAGTTAGGAGTTTGCTGTGTTCCCGAGGATCAGCATTCTTGTCATTAATCTTTCATCTAATAGCTTTTATTTGTGGCCCATGCCCATATGTAAGCACCAGCTGTCCATACACATGTTATTCCATTTCTCTTCCTTCTCTTTGGTTTTTAAAGAGGTCATTCTCATTCTCAACCATCAACTATTACTGGAAACCTAGGGTTACAGAATGTCAGCCCTAGAAAGGATCTCCAGGTGAATCTAATCCTATGACCTAATTGTGCAGACTGTGTAGAATTGAGGCCCAGTGGTGACTTGGCCAGAGGCACACAGCATGTTTGTTACTGAGACAAGACCAGAACCCAGATATCCCAGCTTTTAAGCCAAGGAGCCTCCCTACTACTACACTACATGTCCTCATCTCTAGCAATAAAACACAGACTTCATGTATAGAAACTCCTAGACATACTTGTCCTTTGGCAAAATGATCTTACTCTCCTGGCCTCAGTTATTCCATAAAATTAGAGGATTTGGTGACCTCTAAGATCCTTCCATTTCCAATTATTTTTTAAAATTTTTCTGAATATTCACTGTGGTCAGATTTAATAAAATCTCCTCTCTGTTTTTATTACTATGCATTCTTTTGTTAGATATAAATATTTATAAAAATGACCTCATATTTTATGAAAGTCTATTAATATCCAGTATTCATTCAACAAACACATACTGAGCTTTCAACTAATAAGCTCTATGGAAATACAAGGATGGGCAGTAACTTTGTCTTTAGGGAGCACACATAGACCTTGAGTTATAACTATTATTTAAATTGAAATAAAAGATATATTGCTTTTTTTCACTTTTACTTTCTAAGCAGATTACTTTTTCATAGAACAATGTGAGCATAGCGATAAGGGCCATTGGTTTAACCTTTATATTGTCAGTCTAGAGGGATCAGTAGCTATTATGTTGTGATACAGTGTATTTTTGTAAGGCATGAGATATATTGTCCTCTTCAAACATTATAAACTTAAGAGACAGCCAAGATTAAACTTTTGTTGAAAGCAGCTTAATTTTTAAAAGTCTGATAGCATCAGTAAATGGAGTCCAAGACACAGGCTCAGTATAAAATCTGTACTTTTTGAAAGTAGATGCAAACCATGTACTAGGAAATCTTCCTGTTGTTGATATTAAAGTCATTTAGCAACTATTTTAACATCAAAGATGATACAGTTGCCAAACATCAAAATACTTGAAATGCTGTCTTTCCTTTTCTGTCCATTTCTGCTTAGTAACCCTAAGTGACTTTTGGTTCACAGATATATGCAAGCCAGATGCTTCTTGTGACCAAGCCAGGCCACCTCCTGTGCAGTCTTACATGGATGCTGCTTTCCTTCTGGATGGCTCCCGGAACGTGGGAAGTGCTGAATTTGAAGATATAAGAGGCTTCCTGGGAGCACTGCTAGATCACTTTGAAATCACCCCAGAGCCTGAAACCTCTGTCACTGGAGACCGAGTGGCCCTATTGAGCCATGCTCCCCCCAACTTCCTACCCAACACTCACAAGAGTCCTGTGAGAACAGAGTTCAACCTTACTACCTACAGCAGTAAGCGCCTCATGAAGAGGCACGTAGAAGAATCAGTTCAACAACTAAATGGAGATGCTTTTATTGGTCATGCCTTACAATGGACTCTGGACAATATCTTTTTAAGTGCACCCAATCTGAGAAGAAATAAAGTCATATTTGTGATATCTGCTGGGGAAACCAGTCACTTGGATGAGGAAACTTTAAAGAAAGAATCTTTGAGAGCTAAATGTCAGGGGTATGCCCTATTTGTGTTTTCCCTTGGCCCTACTTGGAATGATAAGGAACTGGAAGATTTAGCCAGCCACCCTTTGGATCACCACTTGGTCCAGCTTGGCCGAATTCATAAACCTGACCACAGATACGGTGTGAAGTTTATGAAGTCTTTTATAAACTCAATCAGGCGTAAGTCAGAAAATCTGTTCTTTTCTGTGTATTAAGGGTATACTTGGTATTCTCCCCTGCCCCAGAAAAGGTTGATAAGCTGACCTGGATTCTTGGAAACCTATTGTCAAGGGTGTAATGATGGATGGTGGAAAGGAGGAAACCTCTGATTCCTAAGCATTTAATTTTCTGGCTCTTTTTTTAAATGCCTCTGGTTCCTATGGAACCAGAAGCAATCATAACAAGCCGCTGTTCACACATCTGTCCACATGCAGCAGTGTAGTCTGGGGATGTGAATTCACAGCCTGGACTTTAGCTGCAAAGTAGAGATGCTTGCCACGTAACATTAGCACATTGCCCTTTCATGGAAAGTTTCATCAGTTAACACACCAAAAGAGAGAGCCAAAGAAAAATTAAACAATTCTTGGCTTTGTTTTTATGAGTTCCTAAAGCAGAATTTGAAGTGTTAGGAGATACCATTTTACTTGTCAGAATGAAAGACACAGCCTTGCAAAACTTTCTTAGCCTCATTAGTGACTCTTTATAATGCCAGTAATTAATGTAACTGATGCCCATAAAAGAGAAACATGAGCTGTATTTCTTGGATTGAGCTTGCTTTGAAAATATGCAATCCATTTTGAATGCAACAGGATGGATAAAAAGAAGCCATGTCTTGCTATGACTCTGAAGGTTAAAGGGTGCTCGGTAGCATTTGCAAACATTTTCATGGTGAATTATCCCTTGGATCCAGATGCAGAAAAGTGAACACATAGGCCAAAGAGTACCCAGTGCAGCTCAAGTAAGGTACTGACTGTGTTTCAAACTTGTCACTGATATTACATGGTGAGACCAGTTAAGGCTGTGAAGACGCTGACCGTTCAGTGCAGGTTAAGGTCTGAGGAGTCTTGGAGATTGTTGGTGGGGCCAGTGCTATGTCCTCTGGTCCTCTGCTACTCAAACTGAGTCTAGGACCAGCAGTGCCAGCATCACCTGAGAGCTTATTAGAAATGCAGAATCTCAGGCTCCACTCCAGACATTCTGAACCAGAATCTGCATTTTATCAAGATCCCCAGGTGATTCACGTGCGCAGTATGGTCTCCGAAGCACCAGTATGGGAGCAGTAAGCTCCCAGAATGAAATTTACGTGGATGTGTTCTGGAATAGGAACCAGAAAGAAGAACTGGCAGAAAAGGTAGTAAAGAGGGGCCAGGAGTCATTTTGAGGGAAGTGATCACAAGGCATTTGTGAAGGTAAAACAAAACACCTTGAAAGACTGATAATCTTGTAAAGAAACACTCCCTATGGGGCAAGAAGTTGGAAGGAAGTCCTAGGATGGAATTTCCTTCCTCAGTCCCCCAAAATTCTAGGTGGTGTGCCATGGTAATCAGTCAAATTGTATCATTAGATAAATGGCACCACCACCCCTCCCCAACCAAGGAAAGGGAAAGAGATGTTTAAGAAAAAGGTGCTCAGAGTTACATGAGAGATATAAACTGCTTTTGAAAACTATAGCCATGACACAGTTACATACTACTATTTTAGAACTTAGGTATCTAGAAATTGTCAATCTTCAAAATATAGCTGTGAAAGTACAAGTCAGAAAAGACTTTGCATAATCATATTCAACCACGTGCTTAATTTTATAGCAGGCCCACAGACTCACATTCATTCAACATTAACGTATATTTATTGGACTTCTACTCTGAGCCACTCACTGTTTAGGTGCTGGGTATCGAGGAGTGACCAGAATCAACACATTTTGTAAGAGAAGCAAAACTACTGAAAATCTCATACTTAGATTAAAAATAAGAAATAAGAAATGAGGTATACAATAAGAAATGAGGTATACAATAAGGATAGCATCAGTCTTAGTCCACTCGGGCTAGAGTGCACAGTCCTAGCTATAACAGCAGCTCTGGGGACAGTGCTGTGTCACAGTCCAAGACAAACCTGCTACTTACCATGACCCCAGGTCACCAGGAAGACATTTAATTGTGTTCAACACATCTGTTCAGTGTAATGTTTCAATGAAATATATAGTACCTTTTTTTTAAATTCAGGATATTATGGGGGTACAAACGTAATATATAGTACCTTTTTAAAGATTCCCATCAAAAAATGGCTTTTAAATTTTTAAATGTTATAAAGAGGCATGCTTTATTATTATGAAAAATTAGTACAATTCCAAATGAAATAAGCCACTAATGACTTAAGATGGCACCGATGTTACTGTTGTAGTTAGTGATTCACAGACCATAAAGGGAATGTCCTTGTCTCTTTACATTTTGATATTTCAAAGGAGCAAATAAAAAATAACTATTCTGATTAGTTCATATTAGTTAAAGGCCAGACCATTAGGACTGGCTTGTGATAGCTCCTCTGATGGTTAATCAACTTTAGCAGTTAAGGGCATCTTATTAAAAAGTTAGGTGGGCTGGGCACATGGCTCATGCCTGTAATCCCAGCACTTTGGGAGTCTGAGGCAGGAGGATCATTTGAGGATAGGAGGTTGAGACCAGTCTGAGCACCATAGTGAGACCTCATCTATACAAAAAAATAATTTAAAAATTAGCCAGGCATGGTGGTGCACAACTGTAGGTCCAGCTACTCAGGAGACTGAGGCAAGGAGGATTGCTTGAGCCAGGGCGTCTGAGGTTGCAGTGAGCTATTAATATGATGACATCACTGCATTGTAGCCCAGGCAACAGGGTGAGACCCTATCTCAAAAATTAAAAAAACAAAAATAAAAAGTTGAATTCACCTGTAAATTCAGAAGTAATGTATTTTCTAAATTCATTTTTAGAGATTCTCTTGAGAAATCTGCCTTCATTTTTATCTGGTCAACTTAGTTCGGATCTTTCTTTGATAAATGTTTCTTTGTGTACAGAGAGGATTACAGTAATGTTAACAGCCATGAATAAGAGACTCATCATAGACTTCTCTTCCTAGGTGCAATCAACAAATACCCACCAATACACTTCAAAACAAAGTGCAACAGACTCAGCTCTGCAGATCCAAAGCAGCCTCCACGACAGTCTCGAAGGTATTATCATATCTGCTTGGTAGTAATTGATAAATGAATATGCCCCGTCCTTTGTTCTCTATCTCTTCCTCTTTTGTTTCCTCCTCCATCAAAAATATATTGCTACTTTCCTGGATTAAACTTAAGTCCATTATCCAAAGTGGGGCACCACAAGAGCAGAAGAACGGGATCCATTTGTACTCACCATCAAATTGGTACTAACTGATCAACACTAGGTTGATCACATGGCAGAAATACTCTCTAGGGATTAGGGGTATGGGAGGGCAAATCTACAACTAAAGACATAGGGAGCACTAAAGGGAGGGAAGGGCATGCCTTTAACCCGCATTTGGATGAGGCAAAGACATAAAGTGTAACTATAATGTTTGTACCCTCACAAAACCCTGGAATAATAAAAAAATATATATATATATTGCTACGTGATATTAAAATATAATTCAAAGGAGCAAGATATAATTTTCAAAATGACCAGGTTGATCTGAAAAATAGTCAACTAGTTTTTTTAATGAAAGATCTAACTGTTGAAATAAAACACCCAAATGGGATGCCCCAGTGGCAATGAACATAACTAGTGACCAGATCTTGGTTTCTAAATACCATTAAAAGGAATCAGGGTTTCTTAGAGAAAGCCCTAATTCTAGGCTGCAGCAGGGAAGGTACAATGTTAGCCTGGAGCAACTTGTTGTGCCAGAAGGTAAGAAGATATTTAAAAACTAACAATGACATTTCAAAAGGACAAAGTAGTTGTCTTGAAAGGATCCCACTGGTCTAATTTTGGATAATTTGATCATCAGAAAGAATAATGATGGTACAAATTATAATACATTGAATTTTTAAAATCTGTAAGTCTATGTAGATATGTAAAAAATGGCAAATGGGAGGAAAAGCTCTTTATATTAGAAGGCTAGCTAGTAAATGTAGAGGAAATGGTAGAATTAGAAAATCACTAATTTGTAATTTATAATATAATAATGTTAATAACTAATGTAACAACTGATCATTAAGGGATGCTAATGTGTAACAGGTTGTTGGGGAACAGGCTGTTTAAAGAGTCTCAAAGAACCACTCCCATGTTATTAATTATGAAAAGGAAAATGTGCTTTTACACAGTGAGATCTGGCAGTGCCCACTTAAACCAAGTTCTGCTTCTTGCACGAACCTCATATAGGATGTTTGAGACTCAAGTCTAATAATGAAGAAACCCTTGGACAATTCCAGAATCTAGAATGTTCTTCAGAACACTTCACCTGTACTCTTTATAGGTTTCATGTCATGAAGACTAGAGGGACATGGGGTACTGTTCTAGAATGGGAGAGACTAAAGAGTCCAAACAGTCAAATATAACTGTATGAACTTTAATTGGATCCTAGATCAGAAAAAAAAGCTGATACAAATGACATTTGGGGAACAGTTGGGGAAATTTGAGTATGAGCAATATGTTAGATGATATTGTTGAATCCATGTGGATATCCTTGTTTGTGGTAATAGTATCATGTTTGTATAAGAGAATGTCTTTGCCCTTGAGACAGATATGCTGAAGTATTCAAGATTAACATGCATGATGGCTGTGACCTACTTTCAGATGGTTTTCCTAAAGGGAAGTAAGATGGTGTCTGTGTGTGTATATAGACATATATAGATATACATATACACATACACACAAAGTAGCAAGATGGCAACATTGTCTAGGTGAAAGGTATACAGGTATTTATGGTTCTGTTCTCTGTCTAATTTTCTATGAATTTTACAATTTTCAAAATAAATAACTTGTAAAACTCAATGAAGGATTAAATAGGGTAATAGACACAACTGAAGAGAAACATAATGAACTAGAAAACAACTGAAGAAAATATTGAGTATGCAGAAATGATAAATATAAGAGGTTTAGCGATAGAACTGAAAGGAAAGATCTAAACTATATCTAACTGGAATTCTAGAAAGATAATGTAGAAATAATAAATGAGAGACAATATTCAAAGACGTAAAGGGTTGATCATTTTCCAGACCTTATGAAAGACACAAATTCACAGATTAAGAATAGACAAGATATAACAGGCAGGACATAAATAAAAAGAAAGCACCAGTTAGCCATGGTTTAGGGAAATGCAGAACACCAAGACAAAACTTAAAAGCAAACAAAAAGACCAGATTATCTACAAAGAAATTATAATTAGGCTCATAACTGAATTATCAATTGCAACAGTGGAAGCCACAAAACTGTTGAGTATCTTTAAACTAGTGAGAGAAAATTTTTGTCAACTTAGAAACTGTCTTTCAAAACTAATGGTAAAAAAAAAACAAAAAACTATGATTCAGATAAAAATACAATAGTTTACAACAAAATAGTCTTTATTAAAGAAACTTCAAGGAAAATAAAACTACCAAATAAGGAAGGAAGGAATGAGATACAAGAAGTAAAAATGAATGATAAAATGCGGTTAATATTTAGGTAAATCTAAACATATATTTTTAAATAACAGTAATATCTAACGTGGGGTTACAAAAAAGCTGTACTTGATAATAAAGCTATAAAAATAAAACATTTGTCACCTGGTAGTTTTAACAGAAGAAAATAGTACTAATATAAATACTAATAAGTATTTTTGATTTATTTAAATATGAGAAAAGACATTAAACACTAAAATAACCTTTGGTTATTTAAAAAAAAACTTGACCTTTAAGGAAAGAAAGATGGTACTAAAAAAAAGAGACAATAATAATATAAGTCACAGGGAGGTAAATCGAGTTAAATGGTTCTAGAAACATGCATTATTTGGGCTGGGTCTTAGGCTATTGAAAACTTTAGACTCTTAGAAATGCATTGACAAATTTGAGGGCACACACAGAAAAGAAAAACAGAAAGTAGCTAACTCCCAAAAATGTAATGAGGGAAAATAGAATAAAAAAGAACGTAAATATTTTTTAAAATAAAAAACCAAGAAAAAATACATTTTTAAAAAAGGCAAGAAAGGACAAGTAGAAGACACAAAGTTAAGACCACAGACCAAGTCTATTTAAATACATCAGTAATCACGATAAAAATACATGGACTAAACATGCCAGTTACAATCAGAGACTGATGGATTTGATTTAAAAAACAAAGGAAAATGAAGAATATAATAAGAATATAACGTAATGTTTTATTAATAATTTGCCTTAATAAAGGCAAAAGTTAGTTCCTTTAAAACTTAGTAACATGCATATGTAATATATTTTGCATGTATGAATATTAGTTACATTTTTACAAATAAGGAATAAATGAAATCGTTAGTGTTTCTTTGTTTCTGTGGTAAATCATTCTATATTAACACACGCATACATACCCAGACACTGATGATAATCAAGTGTGCAAAGAACAGAGACATAGACCAATGGAACAGAACAAAGACCCCAGATATAAACCCATCCTCATATAGTCATCTGATCTTTGACAAAGCAGACAAAAACATACACTGGGGAAAAGAATCCTTATTCAATATATGGTGCTGGGAAAACTGGATAGCCACATGTAGAAGACTGAAACAGGATCCACACCTTTCACCTCTCACAAAAATCAACTCACAGTGGATAACAGACTTAAACCTAAGGCATGAAACCATAAGAATTCTAGAAGAAAATGTTGGAAAAACTCTTATAGACATTGGCCTAGGCAAAGAATTTATGAAGAAGACCTCAAAGGCAATCACAGTAACAACAACAATAAATAAATGAGACTTGATCAAATTAAAAAGCTTCTGCACAGGCAAGGAAACTATCACGAGAGCAAACAGACAACCTACAGAATGGGAGAAAATATTTGCATGCTATACATCCAATATAGGGCTGATAACTAGAATCTATATACAACTGAGGAAAATAAGAAAAAATCAACCCCATTAAAAAGTGGGCAAAGGACATGAACAGAAACTCTTCAAAAGAAGACAGATTAATGGCCAAGAAACATATGAAAAAATGCTCAACATCTCAATCATCAGGGAAATGCAAATCAAAACCACAATGAGATATCACTTAACTCCAGTGAGACTGGCTTTTATCAAAAAGTCCCCAAACAACAAATGTTGGCGTGGATGCGGAGAGATGGGAATGCTCTTACACTGCTGGTGGGACTGCAAATTAGCACAACCTCTGTGGAAAGTATTATGGGATACCTCACAGAACTAAAAGTAGAACTACCATTTGATCCAGCCATCCCACTACTGGGTATTTACCCAAAGGAAAAAAAGACATTCTATAAGAAAGACATCTGCACCCGAATGTTTATAGCAGCACAATTCACAATTGCAAAGATGTGGAAACAACCCAAGTGCCCATCAATACATGAGCGGATTAATAAAATGTGGTATATGTATACCATGGAGTACTACTCAGCCATAAACCAATGGTGATCTAGCACCTCTTGTATTATCCTGGATGGAGCTGGAGCCCATTTTTCCAAGTAAAGTATCACAAGAATAGAAAAACAAGTACCACATGTACTCACCATCAAATTGGTACTAACTGATCAACTCTTATGTACACATATGGAAGTAACCCTCATCGGGTGTCAGGCAGGGGGGAGAGGGGGTGAGTAAATTCACACCTAATGGCTGCGGTGTACACCATCTGGGGGATGGGCCCAGTTGTAGCTCTGACTCGGGCAGGGCAAAGGCAATATATGTAACCAAAGCATTTGTATCCCCATAATATTCTGAAATTTAAAAAAAAAGTTATAGGAAAAAAAAATAAAAAACATTTCTATTACAACTTCAAAAAAAAAAAAAAAATCAAGTGCACACCCTCACCTGGAACTTATACTTAGGCAAATAACTTTGACAACGTGCCTACAATTATTGTGTAGTGTGTGCATTTCTGTGTAGTGATCAGGGCCAGCGAAGCACTCCCAGTCCAGAAGCCCCCAGCTGTGGCACCTCTGAGAAACCTCTGCCTGGAATCTCTTGCTCACCTTGTGGGGAAAGGTGGGAATGAGCTGTCCAGGGGAACTGTCCAGCAGCAAACACTTC